TAATATTTTTTAGTTCAACTGATTTAATAAGTCGTTTTACAATAACATTGGGATCTTTATATTTCTCATCAATGCTCGTATTTATCATCAAAATCTCGTCCCAACTCTATATCGAAGCCAATAATACATACAAACCATTGAATTCTTTACAATCATCAGGTGTTATACGAGGTTTTTTAAAGTTTAAGGTACAGTATATTATAGATTTTTATTTTGTAAATGTAAATTATTAATTTTATATTTATTTTAGTTATTGTCATTAATCGAGAGAATAAGTGTGAAAAGGATTGGCTTTTATTGTTGGAAACTATTCATTATAAACCAATTCAAAGGATACGAGGTTTGAAATTATAGATTTTAATATTTTATAAGTTAATAATTTTTATTTTATTGATATAATTTGTTTTATATTTTAGATCGTATCACTCATAGTTTTATTAATCTTAAAACTTTAGAAAATTAAAATATTATTTATATTTAACCAAATAATTTTATCAAATGTAGTCACTTATACTAATATACAAATATAGTATGAATTATATTTACTGACTTACACACTTTATTCAGTCATTTGTAAATTTACTATTTAAATAAAATTTAATTTCATAATTAAAAATTAAATTAAAAAACATATCTGTTAGGGGTGTTATTCTTACACAAATATAATATCACCATGAATTATAGCAAGGTCTTATTAGTTGACATTTTACTTGCTATTCTTGTGATTTATTTTAAAAATACTGTAATGTTATCCGAAATTATTTTATGAACAATTGGACATTTAATTTAATTGTTTAATGAAAACTATTTTGTTTATCATGAAAGCACAATAACTTAATAATAATACAAATAATAACATGTGCTTAAAACAAATTATAAATTATTTTATGAATTCTAACACTTTATTTATTTATTATTTTAAATATTGTAATATTATAAATATTATATTTTTGAAAATAAAATGATATTTTACTAATTTATATTAGTGGATGCATTATAAAATAAAAAAGTTTTATTTGTTTTCAATAAAATTATACTTTAAAATGTCAAATAATATTATTTAATATCACATTATAAATTATATTTTGTTTATATTTTCACAATTGTATAGCATATAGTCTACAAATATTATTGTCGTCAGTATATAATTATGTTTTGAAAATAATTGTAGTTTTTGAAATGTCACAATTTAAATTTTAAATATTTATAATAAATATAAAAATATTATATTTTGTTTATACTTTTAAAAAATTGTTTTTGTCTTTTGTTTAATATGTTTGCATATACGGTATTATTTTTAACTTATTTTAAAAATTACTTTATAAAACATATTGCCATTCTACTAGATAATTTTCTAAAATGGCTCATAATATAGATTTAAGTAAACCCATACCCCCTGAGTGGAGGGTAAAGGGTGCTGACAGTCATCTCTATTCAATTGGTTTATCACTATTTCAGCCACAATTCAGTCCTAAAAGACATTTAATGTTTAATCCATTTGTTGTGTTCATTATATTTGTTCAACAATTTATTAAAAATTTAATTCTAATTATTGTTCATTTACTTAACAAACAGTGTTCACAACTATTTTATATAATAATGTGTGATTTCGGGCATATATTAGGCATTCCAGTATTTTATAATATAACAGTCTCGATGATCAGTATTTCATGTATTTTATGTCAATTACTAAATTACTATAACTATAGAAATGGTATAAAACCCACGGATTTGAGAGTATTTCATGTGATTTCGGGTTTTATTTCACCCAAAAGTATTGGTTTGTCTGATAAAGTAATTGTATATAATTTGTGCAGGCAATACTATTATCTATTAAAATTTATATATTATTTAGTATATATAGCCGACTTTGCTGTACTTATATTCTCAATTTATTTGACAACCATAGAAAATATTATTTACTACACAATATTCAAGACAATATTAATGACAATATTTTGTCATTATATGTATACAATTATTTTATCTCAAGTTCTATATTATTACATTATTATTTGTTATTTAAAATTCAAGATTAAATCAATCAATAATTGTATTAATGAGTATTTAAAACATAGACTTAATAGCAAACAAATTATTCGTTTAACACTTTTACAACAATTGAATAGTATTTATTCAGAAATCGATGAATTTAATAATAACTATTGGTCTAAATATTTGCTAATTGTTTGGTTAACCTACGGCACAATTATTAGTTTTACGGCATATTTAGCATTTTTTAGTTCAGTTGATTTAATAAATCGTTTTGGATTAATAGTGGCATTTACATATTTCTCATTAATGCTGATATTTATCATTAAAATCTCGTCCCAACTCTATATCGAAGTCAATAATACATACAAACCATTGAATTCTTTGCAATCATCAGGTGTTAAACGAGGTTTTCTAAAGTTTAAGGTACTGTACCAGTATAGTTTTTTATTTTCAATATGTAAATCATTATTTTTTAAACAATTATTTTTTGTATAAATAGTTATTGTCAGTAATGGAGAGAATAGGTATGAAAAGGATTGGCTTTTATTGTTGGAAACTATTCATTATAAACCAATTCAAGGGATACGAGGTATACTGTATATGACATATAATACTAATCTATTATATTTAATTATACAATTATAATTTATTAAAATGTATTTATTTTATTTATATTATAGATCATATCTCTCATAATTATATTATTTCTCAAAATTCAGGAAAAATAAATTATTAATAATATTATTGAATTTATTAATTTTATAAATATGGTATATAACAATTATTCAATTTCTATATTTAGTTTAATAATTCATAAATGTACGTGGTAATAGTATAGTGTGTATTGTATTTTATTGTAAATATTTCGAAAAAACTATTTAAAATGTAGATCATAAATATATATTTTTATTTTGTTAACATTATGCCTATATTTTATAATAATTTACTTTTACTAGTAGTATATTTTAAATTATTATTGTAAAATCATATTTGATTCTACTTACAACAAATATTTGTAATTTAATTCTTTATGAAAATTTAAATTTCATTTGGAGTTAAAAACTAAAAGCTGAGACAACCTTGAACAGTTGCACCCTTTATGTGAAATTGATTTGTAAGATTTGGATAAAAGGTTTCACTTTTCTCATTTGCATCTCAAAGACATTACATACATAAATGATTTATTTGTTCAAACACTGATAAGTATAAGTTTAAGAAACTTTTATTAAGTTAATAAATAATTTGTCTGATTTTAATGATTACAGAGTAATTCACAATGGTGCAAATATAAACATATGATTCGTAGAAAGTTCTACACTAAAAGGCCTAAACCCAAATAACTAACTGACCAGTGGACATACAGTATATTTAATTTGATGAGTGGAATAGACGTGTCAAAACTTAACCTAACCTACCCTAACTTAAATTAAGTGAAATGACCACTGGTCAGTTAGTTATTTGTGTTTGGGCCTTTTCGTTGAGTCCCTTCAGAGAAATAGTACGAATCATACCTAGTTACTTTTCGTACATTTCCTTCAACATGAAGTGTTTGTTAATTGTTTGCGTTGAATGCAATACAATACTATGAATACCGCTAATGCCGTAAATGATATTATTAATGTCAGATTTTAACTCGTTGTTCCTTGATCATAATAATCATGATAAAAATCCTAATCAGTTACAGTTGTAGGTTATGATCTAGTAGTAGTAATAGTAGTGGTGGTTGTGGTATGGGAAGTGGTGGTTGTAGTAGTGCTTAATTGTCCTGGTTTCTAAGTGACTACTCATTGACTCCTAATATAATAATAACTTAATAAATCTGCAAACTTAACAATAATATTAATTTATATTTCATACAATATATCTAAAGTAACAAACAAAGTAACTTTTAGTAATAACTTAATTATCTGATATTAAACATTCATATTTTAAAATAAATTATATTGCCCAGAGCATTGTAAAGCAAATATTATATCTAATATTACACTAATAATAAGACTTAAAATAAAATTTATATAAACTTGAACATTTTCAAACAAGATTAGCCAATACAGTAGCACATTATGTGTTTTATTATCCAGTCTCACGTTTCACATTATCTATGGACTCATAATCGTGATTATTTCCGCCGTTATTCTCGTAGTCGTGGTTAATATGTGTCTTCAACTGTCTCTCCCTTTCCTCCACTTCCCTCTTGAATGTAACCGTCGGTACAATCACTTGAAATAAGCGCTTCTCTATCGTCAACACAATCTTCTTAATACTAAACAAAATTGGTTAATATGTGTCTTCAACTGTCTCTCCCTTTCCTCCACTTCCCTCTTGAATGTAACCGTCGGTACAATCACTTGAAATAAGCGCTTCTCTATCGTCAACACAATCTTCTTAATACTAAACAAAATCCAAATTAAAGTAAAAAAATAGATACAAAATAATTTATGAACTAGATAATTTATAATCATTCTCACCTGAGATATAAGCACACGACTAATGCTATCATAAATGTAATCACTATTGAGTTAATTATGGATAACATGTTCACACTATTACACGTATTCATGATCAGTGGCTGACTAACCCCAGGCTCATTATCATCAGGAGTGAGACATTGATACGACTGTCCACTACTGGGTACACATACGTGTCGGCAATCATGTCCTTTACATCGGTTACCAGTCTTTGGTTGTAGTATTGGATCCATAATCCGAAACTCATGTATCACTTCACGGTTTATGTTAACAGTTTTGAATGAATAGAAATGTGTTTCACTTTTATTATCATTAATATAGTTGTGGTCATAAGTCATATAAATAATTTCAGCTTTTTCTACTCCAACCTCCAGGTCCAATATGCGGTAAACCATGTGTTCATTAGCTAAATACAAGTCATTATTCAATATTTGCATTGAATGTATGGATGAGAATAACTTTTGGGAAGTCATAAAATATTTCTCATTATTGCCGTTAAAGTCCACAGAATATAGTGAATAGTCTGTGATATCAATGAAATAATATCGTTGTGTCTGATAGTCGACTGTCAGATGAAATGCTTGTCTATTATTGTCGTAAATAACTGTTTCATTACTTCCGTCTAAATTACTTTGCATTAGATTTGCCTCAAAGCCAGTTGTACTCCAAACGAGTACACCGTTCACGACATTAATCCGCAAATCTCTGGCAAACTCTGTGTTAAGTCTAATAACTGTATAAATATTATGCGAGTAATTAATATCCATAACATTGATCACTTTAAATCTGGTGTCAATCCAATAGATTAATTCATGAACAAAATCGTATGCTATGTTATATGACGGGCTAGTAATTGATACGCCTTTCCCTAATAAATCTATAATGAAATAAAATAGTTTTAAAAGTTATTGATTAAGTATTGCTGTTATAAAAACATTACAATCAAGTATTGGGTAGTAATTCATGGAATGATAAAATGTATTATCAATGGATTGACTTTCATTTGTAATCACAATAGCATTGGTGGCCGATATCAAGAGTCGAGGATAATTACCTGGAATAGTAATTAACAAGGTATAAATTTAAAATTTAAATTAGAGAGAGAGAGAGAGAGAGAGAGCAAACATATAACTTACCCATTAATCTACTTTTATAAGATATCTTAAATTGTCGACTAAAGCAGTCATATCCTGATGAAAACTTCAAATGAAATTGATTATGCTGGATTAACATGCTATCAGGCACCTTTGTGCCACTATAATTAGCAACTTGAGTGGCCTGGATAGCATGCTGCCCTTGATAAATAGTAATGTTGCAAATGCCATGGTGTCCATCCATATTGAAATCATCAAATATTAAATAAATAAATCTATTTTCAGCCACTTTTATATCCCAAAAGCATGTAATGTTATCAAAGCTATCAGGGTAGCCGGGTGAATGTATGATACCCTCGTTGGCAGTTAACTCACCCCCACACCCTGTATATACAAATTAATATTTTATTAAAATTTTAAAAATTATTTTATTTATTTCATACCATATCTTAACGCCTCATACGTTATGTTAAACCCTTTTCTTGGTTTACTTGTGGTGAACACTAATAGCAAGCTATTTGTGCGAGATATTAAATGACGAGGGTATTTCTTAGTACTATATACACCTAGGAGAGGACTGGTATCTGAGTCGCCGTTATATACACTGAGGAAATCACTTTCAAATGTATAGAAATCATTGAATAATAATTTTATGCTATATTCCGGGCCCACAGTTATCGTCCATTTACACACTATATCAGCCGGGTATGAGTGGGGGTAGTTTGGGGTTGAGATATAGCCATGGTCATTGGTGTAGGTACCACCACATTTTACTATAATAATGTAAAGTTAATTAGTTATTACAATACTTATAATGCATTTATT